TCCATGTTACCCGGTCCCGGGTCCGGGTCCGCTGTCAGGCTCTGGGACTCCGGCCAGAGAGCAGCTACAACAAACTTCAAATAGCTTTGGTTACCTCTCATTTCATTCCGCAGCACTCCCTTCACTGCCTCGTCCTCGTGGGTGGGCAAACTATTTGGCCTTAAAATTGTCAACTCATCTCAACGAGTAGTTTTTGCCTGCAATAATAACTGAATGATAAAGTTTTCGTGTGCGAGTGGGTGCAGGAACAAATTGGACACAACTCGAATTTCACCAAGTCAAATGTATTCCTTAACATGACCATAAGTGAATGGAAAAGGCTTTTAACGGCAAAGAGTTTGACTTCAGTTCTCGAAAATTGAAATTATATAAGAATTTAAATAAAACTACTACTTATCTTTCACATTAGTTAGTGCCAAATGCTAATTTTAAGGTTATTCAAAACCATTTAAGCGATTAGTTCGCACATCCTCTGGCCAAATCTAATCACATTTTGGTTGCTGCCACCTCAGGGTTGAATGAATGGATATTGAAACTACAATCGCACACGCCGTCAAAGAGACGTGCCGTGGCTAATTAAGGCTCTGAGGTTGCCCAAGTCACAGTGACAAACCGCAATCGGCGTTTTGATTAAATATTGACCCGAGACAACGGACTGATGACCACGTCTTCGGCGGTGGCTGGCTATCGCTGCTGCCTGCAAACAATTACGGCTAAATTCATTAGTGAGTCATGCATAATTAAGGAACCTAGGAGGCGGGAGGCAGAAGACAGGAGGCGACAGGAGGCGTGACACCTCAATGTTGGGCAATCGGCTGTCTTTGGCTGGCAAATGCATAAGTGGTTAGTGGGGAACAGGAAGTAGGGGAAGTAAGGAGACCGTTTGATCAGCTATGGCATAAAAAAGAAATCAATGTCCTTGCAGGAAGTGCCTTGGCAATTTGCAATCCTTTGTGCCATTACACAAAGCTTCCGCTGTCTGTATCCTGGACCATTTGGTCGTGCTCCCGGGTCCTTCGATCCTAGTTGGGTTTAGCCTGCAGCTAAACGCCGCTGCAATCAAAGCATGGCGTTAGTGTTCCAAACCAGCAGAAGCAGCAGCAGCTATAGTAGCAGGAGCATTAATCCTTCATTGGCAATCAGGAACCTGTGATGAACTCGCATTTGCCCCTCGAAAAACGGAAGTTGTAAAAACGCCAACGCCGCACAAAGCAAACATGGAAGGATATTTTTGGGGCCGATGGCTGGCGGCCTTTTTTTTTTTTTTTTTTTTTTTGTGAGCCAACTGGCAAAGAAGATGGGGGCTAACCAGTGGCACGGAACCGATTATAGTATTCCGTATTTGGATTCAGGATTCAGATCCGACCCTGCGGGGCATTCGTCAAACGACGCATCAACCGAAGCAATTGTTTCGCCAAGTTTTCTTCTCGCTTTCGCTTTGTTCATTATGTACTTTCTGCTCCTTTCAATTCATTTCGTCTTCTTTCTTTTTTTTTTGTTCCTTTCGTCTCGTTTCAATTCGTTTGTCCTTGCAGAGCAGAGCAAAGGGGGTTTCTTGCCCGAGAGGAGGATGTGGCATAAACACTGATTGATTGATTAGAGGCTTGAGTCGGAGAAGGAGGAGCACAAGTGCTCGACTCGACTAGCCTCGCACGGGGCACTAAACCTAATGAGAAGCCCTCGAGCAAGTGTCGCATCAATCAAGGACGCATTTAATGCGTTATAAGTGTGTGCGTATGATAGCAACGATTTCTCTTGATTTGCGATTATTGTTTAGGTGTATATGCTTCGTCTGACAGCCGGCGATTAGCAAAGTGGATCAGCGAAATGAATGAGTCCCGGGACCGCCACAGCTGACTGAGTCCTTTAAGTGGATCTGGCCTTAAAGCCGTCCTGTTTTTCCCCAACAACAATGCCAATTTTCCACAGATCAAGTGTCGGCGGCCGATTGGCATCAATGGCCTCTGATATCGATGCTAACTGGTCATCCCAGCCAGAGGGAGAGAGCTTACCTGCTGCTGGCTCAGCATACTGGCCTGTCATGGCATCCGCATTAGATACCGGTCAACAACCGCTCTCCGGTAACAACATTTTTCCTACACTAAAAACAGGGCTTATATGTAGTTTTTAACAGAGAAAAAAGTTACGAAGTTTGTATAAGAAAACGAAGCTCTTTTATTCGAACTCTTTCACAAAATGTTAGATATAAAAAAACAGTTTTAGAATTTAAAACTATTTCAGTTACCTATCTGGTCAGAAAACAAGTTTAGTTTGAGTGTAGCTATTGTTACACATACACCATCGACTCTATTCTGCGAGCTATTTCATGTCATTCCAGAAAATCATATCAATTGGCTTGGCCACTGGTTTTCGACAGTCAGCATGATGGTTATACAGATGGGTTTGCTGACGTGACTACCTCACTCTCTGCCACTGCCTTCAATTCCATTTGAACTTCATCTATAAACAAGAATAGAGATACCTCTACCCCTGACCATCGAGCACTTCGTGACTGGCTGCTGTTGCCCCCCTGGCAAAGTGCTCATTATCAGCTGAAATGTTGTCAATTACGGATTTTCGTTTGTTTTGTTTTGATTTGACTTTCAATTGAATTTCTCCTCGGAATTTGAATATCCGGCATTGTCCTTTGTCCTTGGCATCGTTGCCATCGTCACGAGCGGTTGCCTCCGCAAGAATCCAAATCCGCCCAGAAACCCCCAACCCCACCGCCCAGTTTTCCCCATTAAGTTGAGAGCGTCCTTTTCAAAGCTGACTGCTTATGATGAGCTGGGTTCTTATTGGTAAACTGCAAACTTTGTACATAAAAAATTAATTTGATTATTTTTCCCCAACGCTTAGATTTGCGTTAATGACGCCATAATCAACTGTTTTATAGCACTTTAAAAAAGTTAATCCAGCACATATACATGCACTGGACATTTTATTAAGCTGAAGCTGTAACTTTTTTAATTACACAGCCATTCTGTGTCTGGAGGGAGAGCGCGTCGAATAATTTGTTAATTTACGTTGTTTATTATTTTGATCTACGGACCTCGGTCGAATTTTTGGGTAAAAACACATACATTAAATCAAATTATTCAATCTTATTTAACCCTCGAGAGCACACAACAGGCGGTTGGGCGAGTATTTACTATGCGGAGAAATTTCAATTAAAATCATAATGAAATATTTGAAAATTTGTTTTTATCAAATTTGAGCCGGACTACAAATTTTGTGAATTCCTAATGCCGTTGAACACACAAAGACAATGGCCAGAAACAAAGGGGCTACCGAGGGGCAGATAGCTGGGGCATTAGTTCAGCAGGATATCATCCCCCACAGCCAGGCAACCGCAAAATAATTTCCCTTAGTGCGCCCCGCAATAGAGAAAGGCTATTAGTCAGAGAAAGCCAGCTCCTGGGCCATTCAAACAATAACACCGAAACATTAAAGTTCAAAATGATGACCCGAACATAATCGACTTGCCTACTACAATAATATTTAAATTTAATTTAAATGCCCACATGAGGGCATTTAACAAAGTCGATCCCTGGCAGCGGCCAGAAAGCAGAGAACAGAAAACAGAAAACAGCAAACCCGCAAGCAAACAAATCGATGAGGATGTCTCTCAATCTGCCGGACAATTTGCAAAACGATATGCTCGAAATGGAAAGGTCGTTGGGCGTGCAAAATGCAAAGGCAACACTTCGTCCTTCGTCCTTGGTCCTGAATCCCTGGTTCATACTGTGGGTGTATAGGTTAATGCGTTTGTTGTTTTTGCGGCAGAGGGTTCTACGAGACGATAACTTTGAGTCGCCTGCTTAAAAGCACAAAATGATTGGAAGCAGAGGACCTCGGTCCATCCAAAGCTAATGGCATTTTATTGCTCCAACTCTGGTCCTGGTTTTAGTTTTGGCTCCCATTCTGGCTCTGGTTTTGTGTTTATTTCGGGGGATTGCCATTCAAAATTAGAAGCAAAACGCTCTGCGCACTCGACCTTAAGACGAAGAACGTTCAGCTGGGTGCAGTAAATGACATATAAGCCCCGACCCAGGCTTAAGTGCTTAGGGCGCCTTGAGTTAATGCGTTGATATGATGATATCATTATCAAAATATCCTGCTCTGCTCTCTATCTACCCTGTACAGTATCTGTATCTGTATCTGCAGTGTTTGCTTGCGGGCCATTTGTAACTTTTGACCATTAGCTTCTGTTTTTGCGGCCAAATGGAAGCCAAACAATTGGTCTTGCTGATTTTGTGGTCTAATTGATACAAGAAGCAGACGTCTTGTCCTGTCATCCAAGTTACAAATGCAACCAGCAACTGACAATTGTTTTCAATGTTTTGGTCAGTATTGCCCCCTAGTATCGCCCCCGCTTCGAGAACCATCCTCACTCGCATCCACATCCAATCTATTTCAGTTGTCAAAGACACACCGTCTCGGTCTCCTGTATGCCGAACACAGCCCCCAGCTGTCAATCAGTGGGTGTTCTGATGCATCTGTCTGGTCTGGTCTGGTCCGGGAATGGTCTGGTCTGTTATGGGCGTACGCTGCGTATGCTTAATGCCATTTGGCTCATACAGCAACACGCACACACAGAGAGAGGATCAGAGGATCCTACTGTCTGTTGTGTCCTGTTTAGTTAAAGGTTTTTGTCTTGTTGCAAACTTTTTAAGCACGTCGAGCTGTTGAAACTTACGGGCGCGTGTCATTGAAAGCCTTACAAAGTTGTCAAACGGGAAAAGGGGACATATATAGGATGTACTCTATAGTGCAGAGCCATAGATAGAAACAAAGAGCACTGAGAGAGGATAAATAGACTGAAGATGGGGCACGATGGTAGAGCAACATTTCAATTTGCTGCTGCTGAAACTTTGACAAGTAGCCAGCCAGTTATCAATAAGCCTGAGAGCATCATCTCAAATATGATTATACGGTGCTTCAAACTTTTTCTCATGCACTGCAACTCTTTACAGCAGAAGCAGCAGCAGCAACAGCAGCAACAGCAGCAACAGCAGCAGAAGAAGCAGCAGATATTGCGACTGTAGCGGCAACAAACAGACATGGCCAGCAAAAGGATTCGGCCAGAAGAAGAAGAAGGAGGGAAAGGACGAAGGATGAGCGCCCGCCGACCGGGAGCCGTGCATACGGCATTCAATATGCTGGCGTTGAGCTGGATTATAATCTCAGAGTTATTGCTCAGTGGTAAGTGTTCAAAAGACCCATATATAAATGGCATATTGCCGGGGTTTCCCCCATCCGTTTCCCTCAGTCTGTCATGTTGAACAAGCTGAATTTATTATGCCAACTGCGTGCAAGGGGGCGTGGTTGAAATTGATTATTTAATTCACCAAATAACTGTTTGTATTATGCACTGCACCACCCACATCCCACTATCCACCAAAGAACCATACAACCAACCGACCAGGCCAAAAAACCATTCCGGCCAACTCTTCCGCCGAACGTCGGTGAAGTAGTCAATTTATTAAATGCCCCGGGACTCGGCCAGCACTGCTCTTTGATTAATATTGGTCTGTTCAATTAAAGTTGCCATAATTTGGCCAACCACATGCCTGTCACCCCACTTGTTTCCGTCGCTCCCGCTCTCGATCCCGCAAATCGATGAAAAGTTTACGAATGACATGTGTGAACCGTTGCGTGGACAGTTCATTTATGGAATATTCTACCCTTCGAGACTGCCTGTATGTACTATTCATATTTATTATGGGTCTTTATGTGACAGGATAAGGAGGTTATTTAAGTATCATGCATATAAAAACAGTTTAATAGTTGGCTATTTGCTCTGAATCAGCACTTAATAAAGTAGTCATTTTGTTTTACTAAGTGGGACAACATTATTTATTGAACATTTTAAATTTTAGTCAAAAATGTTGAGTTTGTACTTACGCGTTTCCTTTTATTTTAAGGTGTTTTATTTATTAATATTTTTTCATCACCTTCTTAGAAAAGATTTCTCGATGAATTCAACATTTTTTTATATAGGAATCACTGAAAGGAAACGCAAAAATTAATTAAAACTTCAATTCGAACCTTTTTTCTTGGTGTACGTTGTCTCCATACATACACATACATATGTATGTATATAAGTAAAGGAATGCACTATGTGGAATTTGACCCGTTTTTGTGGCCAAAACTCATTTTTTGAAAATATACAAATTTACGTTTTTTCAATTTTACCAAGTTAAGAAATGATCAAAATGCTGTGTTACATACCTAAAATGTTAATTTAACAGCTTACTGTTAAAATACAAGCTGTTAAAGTCAGCTGTAGCAAGCGAACACCACGTGCTGTTAGAAATGTTAATTTTGTGGTGCAACTTCAAATTTGCATATCTCTTAGAAAAAATCATTAAATAATCTAATTCAAATTGAATATTGATTCTTCAGGCTAATACTATTTTTTTATACTAATACGTTGTGTGTTTCGTTCGTATTTTTTTTAACAATTTGTATGTTTAGCAAGTGGTGTTCCTTTGTCACTTATAGAAAGAAAGTTGAACTTTGCAAAGGGTTTTAAAAAAAGTTTCAAAGAGTATCAGTGAGTGTCCATAACTATGTTATAGATTTGTCAATTCTGAATTCAGAATATATTAGCTCATTTGCGTTTATTTGCGAATCTTTGCGTAATTTGAATTTTTAGGAAGCAACCTCTTGTTCAGCAATGCACAAGTTTGGCGTAAGCAAGGGAGTAGAAGTAGAAGTCATCCAACTGTTGGCTGGTGAAATTTAGTTTTCAAATGGTATCGACGCAAGGAAAGAACAAAAATACATACTTTTTTTATATAATAATAATGAAATTGATGAAAATGATGCAGTTGAAAATGAATAACTAGAATAATACTACCAAAAAAATTTCTTTTTTAATAACTTCTAAATTTATTATCCGATCTGGACCAAATTTGCAGGACACAATTGAAATCTGACATTTATCCTGTGTTCCAAAATTGGGGTCTCTAACATGAAAATTCCGCTAAATATTAAACTTTTGTGGGCGGAGGGGGGGCGTTGCCACGCCCACTTTTCAAAAATATCTTCCTTTAGTCATAACCATCATTATACAAGAAACCTGTAGTGGAAAATCTTGTTAATTTTAAAAATATTAATTTTGGCCACAAAAACGGGTCAAATTCCACATAGTGGAATGTCTACATCTGTATATGTATGTAAATATGACCGTAAGTTTTTCAATACTTTTGTAAGTTAATACCGCAAGCCCCACATTGAAACAATAAAAGTGCGTGAATAAAGCAGAGAAAACGAATTAATGCACCGCACTTATACGATTTTAAAGATAAACTCGACATTAACACGCACAATTCATTATGACTCCAGAATTCAGAATTTCAGAATTTAAAGAACGTTAAGCTTGGCGCCAAAACTGAACAATTACCTAAATTTCTGCCACTACAGTAAACTAAATCCGTTGCCAACAAATTAATCAAAGTTTGAGAAGATTAAAATCACTTATTCATATTATTTTTTCGCTTTTCTTAGCACTGTTTACATTTTGCACTAAACTCGCGATCTCATTGAAAGAGAAGAAGAAGACAAATGATAAACAGGGCTGCCACCCTTTCTGTTAGAGTGATCGGTATATCGATATATCGCTTAGCCTCAGCTTTTCTGTGATCTCTACGATAACGGGTTTTTTTAATTTAAAATATTTTTGTTTAAATACGTAAGTCAAAGGCCTTATTTTTAAGCATTTCACGTTTTTCCCATTCAACACAAAATGAAAACTTTTTTAATGACTTTCAAAAACGTTTAATTTTAATTGCACATCCCAATGGCAAAAATAACACTTTATGCTCTTCACTTAAATTAATTTTACACTCTGTGCTTATGCCATAATCATATTGGCATATCTCTTTAGTGGCATTTATTTAAATTTTCCACTGATGCGAGTGAGCCATGAGCCTTGTTTAATGTTGATAATTGCGGCAACTCTCGTTGAATTCCGCAATTCTCGCAGCACAAATGAAAAACTCGACTCGATTCGAAATGGAATAAAATAAATAAATTGCATTTAATGCAAGTCAAATTTGGGCCGTATCCCCGGACTTTGTCATAAATTAACATGCAAGTGGGAGTTCCCAGTAGTTCGGCGTCGATCCTTTTCCTTTGCCGGTTGGTTGGATAATTGGGTTTTATTTTTAACGTGTTTTTTTGTATTTAATTTTTTATGCCGACTGTCTGCCTTCCTTTTTGCCTCGTTGGCCACCTCTCGGCATAATCGAATTCGTTTGGTTGCGTATACGACATGTGGGACTTGTCGTCAGTCGGGAGGTCGGCCCAACGGTTAAACGACTTTTGGGACATCCTTTAATATTAATGCCTGCCACCGCACTCTTTCAGTTCACTGCCTAAAGGATCTGAAGATATTTGTACCGGAGGCCGTCATCATGGGAAATGCAGCGACATTGTCCTGTCAATACGATTTGGAGCAGGTAAGCGACACTTCCTTCGAGGAACTGAGAAACGGCAGCCATGGCAACAATGCGAAGGATATTGTCGTCGGCGGCATGCTTAATTATTATAATTACTTGCACTTTGTCTTGCCGTCGACGCCTTCGTGTCTCCTGTCTCCTGTCTCCTATCTACCGTCGCCTATTGTCCTTGCTGCTTCTCCTAGCTCCTTAACTATCCACTCAGGCTTTTCATTAACGCGTTTTCCTTCCGTTCCTCCGCAGGCGGCGCTGTACGCGGTACGCTGGTACTTCGGACAGGAGGAGTTCTACCGCTACGTTCCCCGCGAAGCCAAGCCCACATTTGTCTTCGCCGTCGCCGGCATTAATGTTGATGTAAGTTAAATTAAGCATAGAATATGTACAAGCTGTTATTTTTTGCACTATTAAGAGCAGTATTGTAGTGGTACTTAAACAAATTCTTAATAATTTGTTATGAAAATAGAGCTCTTCAGTAAAAATAGCCCGAATGTAAGCTAGACTTTCACATTTATTTTTCTAAAACAATACTCGGTATTTCTTAGTCTGAAGTGCAGATTATATATCTCCTTTTTTTTTGGGTTTTCGCTCGCCTATTGTCGGCTTAATGGACAAATCACTGGAGCAGCAGGGCATGTGTTTCGTTCGGGCCGAGTTTGCATTTCAACAAATGCAAAATGGGAAACCATTCAAATGTTGTGCAAATATTTAAATGCGGACAATGCCAGGGCTCTAGCTTGGGGCAGTTGGGATGCCCGCTAGCATCTTGCCGCCTCGTTGTCCCTCTTTCGGTGTCACCCATTTTATTTCTATTGCTGTGCAATATTTGTTCACTTTTATTTACAATATTCGGTGGTGTTTTGCATTTACAAGTGTGTATGTGTACGTATTTGTTGTCTGTGTATGAAATATTCCGCTCTACAATTTGGAAAGTGCCACAGCCAACACACACGCAACCGGCTGAAATATTGCGAAAAGTGCAAAATAGTTTATGGCGCGGCTGCTGGCAAGCAAAACAAACAAATAAACAAACAAGTCCGGCGGCAGCAGCAAGGAGCGGATAGAATAACCCACCTAGTGGCGAAAAATGCTCGGCATTCGCTTTTCCATGCTGCACTCATTAATAAAAACAACAGCCGCAAAGTAAGCGATAAATTATTCGGCCAGGGACCAGCGTGAAAAGTGCTGAAATATTTCTCAACACCATTTTAAAATCACCGTTTTACTTCTGTCTTGGAAAATGAATTGGTTAAAAAGAAAGGTCTTTTCTTAAAGTATCTTAAAATAAAAATATCGTCCTGTAATATCGAGGAAAATTCGTATAGAAAAAGTACTTAAGTTTGACATTAAACCTCAATTAACATAACCAAAACTCACAACTTATTATTTTATACCAAATTACAGAAGTTACAGCCCATTCCCCTTGCCAATTTACTAGTTTAAATCTCTCTTTAAAAACACACCCTAAAATAAAAGATAATATTTATTTGATTTAAAGACCTGATAACATCTGCTTTGTGCTGATCAATTGCTTGAACAATAACCAGTCGGGGTAACATCGTTGATTTCCGAGGGCTGGGGAAAACGTATCGATTGTCGTATAATCATAAATAAATAAAATTGAATTTACCATGAAAAATTTGTGTGGACGAAATATAAATTGAAAACTCATTCGTCCGCACATAAAACTGCAAACTCATTTACAAACACTTCGGGCCACATTTTTCAAATGCGCCAAAAGGGGGAACGTTAAATAATCATAAATAATGGCATAAAGCGAGGGCGAAATGATGGAGTAATGTTTGTTTTATGTAAGCGAAACAAAGCAAATCGAGGGATGCTCGCTCCACAGAAATAATTTGGCCCCGACTTCCGTTTCCTGTCTGCCTTCTCTCCACCCATTCCCCTCTACCCAAATATCTATTGGCCAACGATGGCCAGTGTATCGATAATGGCGTACTGGCCACATCAATCAGCGTGGACTTGATTAATTTGCTTTGATTGTGTCTTTAATTTGCACTCCCAATGCAATGGCCAAAACAAAAGGAAACGAATAGGGGAATACAACGGAATAAGGCCAAAATAAAACGAAATAAAATGGAATAAAATACAAATAAAATAAGGCAGCCCTTGCTGCTCAGATGTTAATTTGCCACTAATTAGCATTCAAAGGCATTTTTGCACTAATTAAATATTTCGATTGCAGCATTCGGGGTCCTTGGCGTTCTGTGGGCGTCCCTGTGGGCAGTGGGCGGGGCGTTAAGCTATGCGTGTTAATTATTTCCCAATTCTTTCCCTCTTACTGATTTTTATTTGGCCTTACATCGCCAGCGAATTGGAAACTATTCAAAAAAACAGAAAAAAATGAAAAAAAAACTGAAATAAAAACAAGCATACACACACACACACACACACATAGAGACACAAAGAAAAACGAATGGCATTGAGGTTAATGTGAAAATTTGTGTAGCCTACTTATGGCGGCACTGCAATAGCAGCAACCGATGGGAACTCATTTTAATTTGAGCAAATTTCCACTCCACTCCCGTGGAAAACTGCTTGAGACGCAATCAGCCGTGAACCGCAAAAGGTGAAAAGCGTAAGAAAAGATGGGAAATCCGAGTGGAGCCGGGGCTTTGGTCGATTGCATAATGCAAATGATTTAGCCAGCGTGCTCGCTGTGCAATTAAGTTTGAAGGTTGGCCATAGTTTTTAGACCCCTGCCCCCACGATGATGGTGATGATGATGGTGATACCATTGCCATGTTAAAAGGTGGCTTTTGAAAAGTGCAAAAGTGCAAAAAACTAAACTAAAAAAAAAATGGTGGAAAAAAATACTCTACACCCCGAGGCAGCAGCAACAAATCGAAATGAGGCGCCAGCAGCTGTGTTTCCCAACTTAAATTGATAGTTGCCGGCAACTAACGAAGGCAAACGTCAAAGGCCAGGCCACAAATGGAAATGGAATTTTTAAGTTATGCCAAGGCAACTGGGCCAAATGAAGAGGGCCATGGATAGTGGCGGGAGGATGATGATAGCGAGCCAGCTACGAAATTGTGGCAAGTGCCTTAATTGAGATTAAAACATTATAACTTGACTTGTTTTACTTTTGCTAAATCATTTCAAACAGCTAAACACGCTTAATGAGAAAAGTTACGCCCGTGCCAAGTTGTCGGCCATTATGCATATGCATATGTGTGTGTGTGAGAGGGGGGAGTATGGGGCGTGTCGTAGGTGTGGTGTGGGCGTGGCATATAAAGCATCGAGCACTTGAAATGCAGCTGCAGCTGCTGATGATGCTGCCGCTGACATCCAAAGGCACTTGTGCCCACCAGCTGGGCGTTTCAGGGGTTGGTAACAGGGGGCGTGGCCGACCAAAGTGCACTCGTGTCGTCCACTTGAGCGTTATTGGAATGTAAATGTATGCATATTAAGGCGGTGGGCAGGAAGTCACCGCCGAGTCGCGTCGTCAAAACTTCAAAAGTCATTCAGCAAGGCAAAGCAACAGCCCAGTCTCCCGCCCCCATGCATCACACTGAGGGAAAAAATGAGAAGCTTACTTTTCAGAAATTATATCATAGTAAGCCAAGTGAATAAACGGTTTGCTTAGAAAATAACACCCAAAAGATAGTCGTTGTTAAACTTACTTGCTCTTAAGACAACGTTCATAAATTTTTATAATGTAATTGATTTTTTTCTGAGTGCATTTCTTTACACATGTCAACTTGGGGACAACAGCAAAAAAAACAAGAGGAAACGCTATAGTCGAGTGCCGCGACTATAAGATACCCGTTACTGTTTTACACAATTTTAAAATATTAGTTTTGCTAGTGGAAATTCACAAGGCGCCTATTGTCAGAGGAAGTATGTTGAGTATGCTTATAGTGACGTCACTGCCCATGTGGAGCCTTATAACCTTAATTTCTTCATAAATAGCGAAATAATGTTCCGATTTGAAAAATCTTTTGTAAGTCGATAGATATTAACAGAAATAAGTTACACAAGGTCAAACGAAGGCATTCATAATAATATTATAGACTCCACAGTTTTCCGCGGTTTGTGGGCGTTAGAGTGGGCGTGGCCGGATGCAACTTCGTGGCAAGTTGCAGAGGCATCTCCTAAATACGTGTTCTTAAGCAAAATTGTGTAGCTTTTATAGTTTTCGAGATTTTTGCATTTTTGGTTTTTCGGGTTTTGTGGGCGTTCAGTGGGCGTGGCGTGATTGGAAAAAACAATTCGCATTGGGAGCATTATAGAAACATACATGCTTGATCCGAACTTTCTATCTCTTATAGTTACCGAGATATCAGCTTTTCTAGAAAATCCGAAAACCGTCTTTTGAGCCTTGTGGGCGTATGGGTGGGTGTGGCCGGATAGTAGTACCACTATAAGTGCGCTGCCATCTAAAGATTATACTTTTTGAATTTCAACTTTCTAACTGCAATAGTTCCTGAGATTTCAGCAATTTTAATTTTTGCGATTTGTGGGCGTTAGAGTGGGCGTGGCAGGATGCTGTAATAAACTTGCGCTGTCCCGGGACCTCAAGAATCTTCATGCTTAATCTCAGCTTTGTATCTGCTATAGTTCCTGAGATCTCAGCGTTCATACGGACGGACGGACGGACGGACGGACGGACGGACGGACGGACGGACGGACGGACGGAAGACGGACATGGCTCAATCGACTTCGCTATTGATCCTGATCAAGAATATATATACTTTATAGGGTCGCAAAAGCTTCCTTCTATCTGTTACATACTTTTCAACGAATCTAGTATACCCTTTTACTCTACGAGTAACGGGTATAAAAACAGAATATATAGAAGCTCAAAAAAAGGGGAAATAAACAGGAAAACCATCATGTTAAATGTAATTAAATTTTTAATTTAGAGACAGCGCTCGCTTCGCTGGCAATCTTCAATTAAAAACACAATTACCAGGCCCGCCCGCTGAGCGGATTGAGGGTCATCCGAAAGGGGGGGATGTCGGTGGGGTTACTGAGCGGGACAGGAATAGGATATGCCAAGTGCTCTAAAGTTTTGCGGCTTATTCATTGTCCGCCACAACAATAAAATCGCCAGCAAGCAGCCAGCCGAAAGGCCTCCATCTCTGTCTCTGCCTTTGGATGTTGGACCCAGTATTCCTCAGCATTTCCCCGCTTTTCCAGCCGCGGAGATTCCAGAAATTTGCGTCCCGAAAACTTTTTGCACACTGTCAACACGGAAGGAATTATTCCGCATTAAGTTTGCGGTAATGGCAGCGTCAGTCGTACTCCAACACACACACACACATACCCAGAGACACAGAGAGCCAGTGTCCTTTTGGCTTTTGGCTGAGTGTCCTGGCTGCTGGAGCGTTTGCTTTTAACATTGTTAATAACCCGACACGCCTCGCATTTATGCACAGCAATGTGCGCTCTAAAATTAATTCACTTGCTACTGGGAAATTTCAGCGGAGGTCGAAAAAGGGAAAACTGGCGACAGAAGTGACCAAAAAAGTTGGTCGGTCCAGGGAGCCGCATAGTCTATGGTCTACGATTTGAATGTACTCCCAAGGGCTTCCTTTTTTTTTGGCTTCTTTAGGCAGTTGTTAATTAGATGCACTGGAGGAGTTGGAGTACAGAATTAAGTGGTCGAAGGGAAAGGGATTTTCAGCTGATCTAAGCGAGTTTTTAATAGGGAAAGGTAGTTTCTTTTATTAAAAGGTTAAAAGTTCAAACGAAGAAGTTATCTAACCTTATGATACTCACTCTAAATCCAAGCCTGAATGATTTATTTTATAATTTCTTTGTTATTACTTTTCCAAAATATAAGTGTTAATAAAGCTTTGATTTACCAAACTCTACCAACTACTCAAAAATTAAAGGTTTAAGGGAAACTTACTTCAAAAGTAATAAAACAAAACACCAAAAAGAAGAAGATCCTTACTTTCCATTTACTTCTTACAACCACATAGAACTTTAATCCTAATACCTTCAAAGCTTGCCCTGTTTGTGAGTTCACTTCAATTTCCATTAACAACTCAACCCAGTCACATGCAGGCATTTTCCCAAGCTATTTTCCGTTTGCCATTTTTTCCCCCAGTTGTTGTTTACGCCGTTATGGCGGCCTTGGCTGGAAATTGTTGTGTTGTGACAAATGGCAACAAATAAACATAATAAATAAAAATGCGAAATGCATTCGTGAAGTGTGCACACCAAGCCCTCCGGAATCGCAGAGTGTAACTAGCTGGGTCCGTCCGCGTTCGTCGTCCTTCTGTCCAAAGGCCGCCAAATGGCATTGGTTTGCAGGAGGAGGAAGGTAGATGGGTTTTTGGTTGGGGGTGTTGCTGCTGCTGCTGCTGCTGGTGGATAGCTACTACCCATCCACATTGGCGTGCTGTTGTCTGCCTGGGCCAACAATGAGCACAATAAAAAGCCATGCATTTTCCAAACACCAAAAATTGTTCATAGCAACTGCTCTGGCAGCAGAAGAAGAATAACAACCGCACCGGAAACATCTCATTCACTAAATTTGTGGTCGGTTTTTGCCAAGCGTTAGGCAGTCGAAGTTGTGAAATGCCAACGGCAACTGGAAAATTCGCAGGAGTTGGACGGCTATGGTGGATAGGATAGTGGGTGGCATGGGAAAATTGGTTGTGGAAGGAGAGAAAGCCGTTAGTTACAACAATGCTCGAGGCAACGGAAATTCGGCATGACATAATACGTGCACATGCGAGTGTGTGTGTGTGTGTGTGGCGTGGAATAGGAGTGTGTGGCTATGTGGTTGTGTGGCCGCGACTTGAGTTGATACAGCAATAATTCATAAAGTGTTGCATGCAAACGAGGATGCTGCAGCTGAGCCAGCCTCACACAGATACTCTCTATATATATATATATGTAATAGTGTGTGTGTGTGTGTGTGTGTGCCGCATGCGACAGCGTTGGCAAAATTAAAATTGCTGCACAACAAACAGCGGAAACTCAGCGAGGAGCCAGCAGTCGCAGGACGAAGAAAACGGAAAATGGCTGTGGGAAAATGCAGGGGAAAAGGAAAAGTGGAAAGTGAGTCGGGGGCCAGGCACTGCAATGAAATTCATTGTATTCTTACAACTCGACGACTCTGGCAGCTCAGCTCAGCCGGGCCGAGAGCTTTTTTGCCGTAAAGTTATTATTTCATAAAGCCAGAATTATTGAAACAATACTTTACTCTCACACATGGGTTGAAGGGGTGTTACTAGATGGTTGCTGGTTGCTGGTTGGTTGGGAAAACTCCTGTGTGTGTTTGGCATGCAAAATTACGCTTTAGTGGCGTCATTTTTTCCCCTCTCCTTCTGCCAGAAAGTTGCAGCTGCGGCTGCTAAAGCAATATAAAATATAAATAGAAATTAAAAGCCAACAAATAAAAATAAATAAAAAAGGGGAAACGGAGTGGGCCGAGTTGGTAAAAATAAAAGTAAAAAAAAAAAACTTTTCACGACAAACGCAACTTGAGTTGAGTTTTCCCTGCCTGTTTTTCTGCTGCTCTTATTTATTTTTTTTCTTGTTGTTGACTGCCCGGAGGAGCAGTTACAAAATGGCTACAGTTTCATACGAGCAAACTAAAAGGACATGTGTGTGTGTGTTTGCGTGTGTGGGGGTGTGTATAAGTGTGCTGGGCATATCATTCCTCAAAATGGCAGACATTTGCGTTTGTTTGGCGCGCTTCCTGGCGCTGCCACTTCCGCTTCCGCCGCAAAGAGCCACCGAGAGTACCAACAAATAAAGTCACATGCAATTAAATAAATATGACAGTCACAGCAGCCCAGCAACCCAGAAACCACCAGCCTGGCAGAACAACAAGAAAAATCCCAGCCGCGGTTGAAGCACTTGAATAAACAAAGCGGCCCAGGAACAACTTTTCCGTATATGTTTGATTACATAATTAGTGTCATTTAATTAGACGGGGTCGAAAGACCCTCAGGCGCAATGCAAGTGGAAGTGGGAAGCCAAAGTGTGGGCTGAGTGCAGAGTAAAATGAGCTGGGAAATATTAGTGAAATTTTACACTTTAACTTTCAAAATAAGAATTTGCTTTCCAATATGTTATATGAAATATAAAATTCATACTTAAATCAGTTTAGTTTATTTGTTTAGAAACTATTTCCATGGCCAGGCCAGGCGTTACTTCATAACTCATCTCAGCCAATGCGAAAGCATAATGTATCTCTGGTCCCGAGCCCATTATTCATGACCCAAAACACCCGCCAACCCCTTATGCATATAGAGAACCTTATCAATACGATTCGCATTTGTTTTCATTTTACGATTGCGTAACGAGATCAGCGTCGACAAATCCGAAAGCCACTAAAACCACAGCTCGCCAGGGGCCACGAAGCAGCCATTCCATGGCCAATATGCCAATTGGCAACCGCCAGTGAACAGAGGGGGTTTCGGAAAGTAGAGAGGGGGAAAATACCAGAAGGTTCGTAGGTGCCTGGCGGCCCTTATCGACGGCGTTATCTGCGAATGAACTGGCACAACTAGCTGGAAAGAAAACAACAAACTAAATAGGAAAAGCCAGGCCAAGCCGAGCAATGCGCCAAAGTGTTGAAACAATCGTAAAAAGCTGTTGTTTGCCATGGGGCACTAGAAAGGATAAAGAATGGGGGTGGGGTTGCTAGGTTGTGGGGCGATGGTGGCTCCTCTTACTCCCCCACTGCAGTGGGATATGCCAATAGCAATAGAAATAGGACCGACCAACAACAGCAGCCATGCCGGGATTAGTACAGATGCAAATGAACAAAGCGATGGCAACGTTCGCGCTCTGGCTTTGGTGGCATATGCAAAACTCGAATGCGAATGCGAATGCGAATGGGTTGTTCTCGTCGGTGCCTGAACTTAAATACAAAAGGCCAGGACTGCGATAAAAGGACCGCGTACACACACAGCCATCCCTACAAACACACTCATATACTCATACACACAGACACAGAATGGTAGGTAATCGCGAGTGGTTCGCTGCTGAAGTGGATTTTGAGTAGGATATTGCACAACTGTTTGCCAAGTGGCAAGCGCTTGCTGGCAATTAACAGAATATGCTAAACTGCGACAACGAGAGCGGCTCCAAATTCCAAGTGGTTCCGAAGCTGGAATACCCTGTTAATCGATCTGATAAGGGTGCTACTTCTCAGCCCAGCAAGCCCATGGGGTTCATCATACCCCAACCAATTGGAATTTGGCTTCTGGTACTTACTCATGCTCTGCTGATTACCAACAAAATGCATTGCCTGCGCTTTTCATGCCATCTCATGTTCACGTTTTTTCGGTTATGTGGATGGCAATCACCCATTCGACCAACTGAAAACGGAAGCAGCTCAAAGATGGACTTAAATACGTTTCGGATATTGGCAGTTCCAGTTCTTTGTGCACTGAAAAGACAGATATACATGATGATTTTAAGCAAACAAATATTATTAGTACTTAAAACTTCAACTTCAACTGAAATTCCAATGTTAAATGATTTTATTATTCCCACTTACAGCTCGCCAATTCGGATGCCACGTCGGTGACGCTGAAGGGTGTCACCCGGGAGCTGAGCGGCAGCTATCAGTGCGAGGTCTCCGAGGACGCTCCACTCTTCCACACCGAGATTAGATCGGCACACATGCAGGTGATTGAGCTGCCCAAAGACGATCCCGTGATGCAGGTGGACAAGAAGGTGATTGGCGTGAACGACAACTTCAAGGCCGTTTGCACGGTGGGGCCCTCATATCCGCCGGCCAACATCACCTGGAGCATCAATGGACGACAGGTGAGTTAGATTTCTAGGACTAACACTCAGAGAAATACTTATAAACGAGGCTACATCCCTTTCCTTTATGAATTACTTTATAAATTATTTCCCTTTTTACCTTTACAGATCCACAGGTCGCCGCTGCAACACATCTCGCACGACGCCTATGAGGGCTCTGCCACGTACTCCGAGCTGGTGATGTACCCGCATAGCCAGGCGCTTCAGGGCTTCTTCGAGGGCAAGTACCAGCTAAACGTAAACCTGCAGTGCGATGTGACCATCCTGCATGTCTTTCACAAGAGTGTCGGGCAGCGGATCGGTGTAAATACGGCGCCGCCGACGACCATATCGCCGAATCTGCTGGGACTAGAGGGATCCAAGCGGTATGCCAACGGTGATCCTGACAATTCAGCGCTAACTGGCGCCTCGCAGCGCTGCTGCATTTGCTGCGGTGCCTTTGGGGCCATTTCGCTGGCGGTTCTCACAATGGCCGTGGCGCAGCTGTGACCGCAGCGTACCGGTTAAATGGATCATAATGGAACGTAAACGCAGCCGGACAAGTCACCTCCAAGGATGAAACAGCAGCTCCAGCTGTGTAATTAAAAAATAACAAACAAAATGTGTGCTTAATTGCAAAACCCAAAGAACATACGAATTGCAAAAATCAAAAGCAAAAACCAAAAAAAAGGAAAATATTTTCGGGAGAGGGGATAATTGTTGGCGACAGCGACCCTGCATTGTCAACGCCTAGTAGCATGTCCTTGTGTTTGATATTTTTTTTTATTTGCCTCATTCGCCAAACGAGAAAACGACAAAAAAAAGGGAAAACTGGGTCGCAGTCCATAAGTTCAAAGCGAAGGAATATTTTCAATGCATTAATTCTGTTGCGATGGCTACATACAAAATTCTGATAATAACAATACTTTAAACATAAGTCAGCCGGGCCTGAAATTTCCACACTAGCTCGGGCATAGGTCGAAGGAAGGTTAAATTAATAATAGTAAAGGTAAATATATAGCGTAAATTTAATGCGTGACACGCGTAATTGCATGTTGTGGATAGAGGCGTGATGTTAAACTCTTTGCAAAAAAAAAAAGCAAAAAACTGCCTGCAGACAACACAGAGTATAGGAAAGAAGGAATAAAAAAAACGAAAACGAATCCATAAATTTAAATAAATTAACACATGCACTTGCAAACAAGACTTGCAAACAAATTACATAACAAAGGAAAAACAACAATTAATAAGCATAAGTGACACACATTTAAATACTAAGTACACCCTACCCTCCAACTACCGCAGCCTAGGCACATAAGTTATGTAAATAATAACTGTAAAGAACTAAAGCGAAAAAATACAAAAACAAAGAAATAAATTATTAATACGAAACCCTCACATGGGCAAACATTAATTAAAGCTAGAGCGAAGTGTGGAGAAAAAGTTAAATACAAAACTAATTAAGTCCTTATGAAAAATCAATGAAAATGAATCAAAAAACTCTAAAAAGGATATCGGCCAAATTCAGTTTAATTGGATTTGTTTTCATTTTCAATTGTGGCTTCTTCTTTGCGCTATCATTTTGTCCATTCTCTGTTAAATGTTTCATTTCCGTCGAACGGTTTGTGTGTTAGCGGCATAAGATGGACCTTGTTTTAGACTAAATTTACATAAATGCAAAAATATATATATTTATCGAATAATAACTGCCGAGGGGAGAGCATTTAGTGCGTATATGTTAGTTGGATGATGTTAAGAGTATATTCTGCGGAACTAACTAAAAGTAAATCCAAACTCCTTGGCCAAAGGACTATTTTTAGATGTTCATGCGCAGCGAAAACTCACAAAGAAAACTTCAGGTTGCGTTCGATTGTGCATCGCGCTCTGTATTTCCCAGCTAAGAAACGAACTTTTTGGAAGCCTTTCCAATTAACAAAGTAAGCCCAAAAATATTGTAAATCAAAAAAAGAACAAGAAATCTATATTATTTTAGTGAGTTGTGGAAGGCAGGTCGGAAATAACTGAAACCCAGAACTAAACTTAACTAAACTAAAAGGCAAACTAATAATAAAATGTAAAATCAAACTTAAATACAGGAAAACGAGGAAATAATACAAACCGAATGAGAGAACCGAGCAAACGAGTCAACGGGAGGAGGAAATTATATATTAAATATGCATAATTATGGATAATTTAATGCGAGTTAAGCAAAGCCAAAAAGGTCAAACGAAATCAAACCACACAGAAACCAACAACAAAGTGCACGCCGATGTGGGCGTGGAATTTAGCTCAAAATTAAATGCGATAATGGCAAGAATTATATGACGAAATAAATAAATAATACAAAATGTACGAGAGCCGTGTTTTATTGCTGTTTCTGAGGGGGCTTAATTGTACTATGGCATCGCCCATCAAGCACTTTAGGTGCCCATAATTAACGCAATGATCCTGGTATTAAAGCACATGCGAGCATACCAGCGTATAGGGCGACCATCCAAGGATGTCACTGACGAAGTTGGTCCTTGTTTCGCGCGTTTGCCAACGGCAGCTGCACTTACATGCAACACCAGTTACCAGCTGAAGCTGATACCTCTGACACAGCCGGCGAGTGCTCAACACACAAGCACACTGCAGGGGTTGGGGACATGGGACTAGGGTCCTGGGAACAGGAACTGGAACAGGAGCAGGCCATCGCTATCGCCATAGCGTCTCATGTTTTGTAAATTAAGCAAACAAATTAAGTGCACTTGCCGCCCAGCTTGCTCATACACTCACACACACACACACACACACCATCTCCTTGTGCCCCATGTAAACACATTGTGATTCTAACAAAAGCATATATATCAAAACACGTACGGTGATGGTGGAGCGCAAAGGTGGTTACGCATCCCTTTGCGTTCGTCCTTGAGCAAAGCTGCCGCTCAAGGACACCGTTCGGCCACCCTCTGTACACCGTTAGTTTGTCTTAATTAGTTGCAGCAACAGCAGGGGCGCCACATCCCGTGGCACGATGCAAAGGCCACAGAATGGCAAAGCCACCGCGACCCAAGCTGGTATTATTTACAAGCCATTGGCTGCAGCCAAGACCCAACCACAATTTCAACTTTGCACCAACAGCCAACATCCTCCTCCGCTTCTGTACTTTCTCAACCCTTTCGCCATAATTGTGCAGTCATCGTGCTGTTTAAAGTTTTACACGTAACCATATTGCCAAAGAGCTCACCGCGCCCACACACACGGCGTATGCGTAACGCAGAATGAGTAGGCAAAACGAACAGCCATTACGCATACGTGCTGGGAGAAAACTCAGGACTCAAGGAGCTAGAGACCTCTTCAATCGTCTTCAATACTGCTGACACAGCTACTAAGTAAACATGTGGCTTATTCTGCTGAGTAAATCAACTATAATTACACTAGGCTACAAGGTGGCACAAATATTAGGAAATATTAAGAAAGAAAATAATAATGGTTGAAGATTTCTTTAAACTGGGAAGTCCCTTTTGGAAATCCTCTGAAAATCAGTTTGTCTTTAAGCCAATTCATCCTACTGTTTAATTATTATTATTATTTCAGGTAAAAATATTTAAAATCTTCTATTAAGATTTTTAATTCAAGAAAGTGTCCCTTGGACTGTATCATCATAGCCAATCAGTTTTGGTAATATTTTTATAATTTTAAGCAAGGTCTAATTTAAATATTAAACAACAACTCTCTCTAGAGCTTCCCTGAATCACGTTTAAAGTTCAAAAGTTATTTCTCATCACTGCTTGTGAAGTATGAAAAGTTCTGGAACTTTGGTGAAATGTGTTTCCGATTGGAATTGCACCACTATATGGTGCTGATGCTAATCCGAGTCGCTCTGCGGGTAAGCCAATACTAATGCAAATGCGCCATTTTAATTAAATGCGTATCGGGCTACAAATAATGCAAATGGGATAGTGGGCTTGGGCTATATACCGAACGAACGAACGAAACCCTTTTGCCAAAAACATCAGCAAAATGAGTTGCATATTTTGAAGCATGATCTTCTCGCTCCCTTCGAAGCGTAACTCCTAAATGCCAGGACAATGTTTCACAGCCTCCACTGTTTCGGGGGCGTGGCAGAGTGGAATGATTTGGTTTATGGTCTCTGCATGCATTTAACAACACAAAACGTCGGCAGCAAGCAAAGTGGCCATTGGTTGAACGGCCAGCTGACTGGCTGACTGGCTGGCAGGGCAAAACGCAAAAACATTGTTAAAATACAGCAACATTTTTGGATTTATAGCGCGCTAATCGCGGCCAAACAGCAAACGGGAGTGGGTGGTCATTTTGGGCGCTGGTCTGGCATTCCGAATTGTAATGGAAATTGAAATGCAAATGCACGGCATGACATTTACGAGTGCTTCTGCAGTGGCAGCAGCAACATCAGACAAGAGCCAGGACAGGCCCTGCCAAAAACTCAACAATAAAATGTTGCAACTAAATACACGGGGAGAAGGACAAAGGATGGGAATCTAAATTAGTTGATATCGCCAATAGACTGAAAAACTTTTTAGATTTAATTTCATTTAATCATTTTTAAACGATTTTCACTTCTACTGAATCAACATTTTCACTCTAAGTCACTTTTCCTAAGAAACATTTTTAAATGCTGAATTTAAATCTCATATTTTTATTGAAAACAAACCTCCATAAATTCTTTAATGATACTAAAAAAGGTTTAAATTATTTAGAAAATCATACCCTAAAAAATATTTTATCTAAGTGTAGGAAACCGGCGCCCGTCGCTGGAATCGACGTGCACTTGGCAGGCCAGGCGGCTTACTTGGCCGGCATTGTGTTTTCATTTCGCAAATGCAAAACAAGACACTGCCGGCCACGCCCTCAAATCGAGACAGCCTATAGATTTATGGCCGCGCAATTAGCGAAAGAAACAGATTTTCGGTTAGGGGAATATATATTCATGGCGTAGTTATATTTAAGGCGTTGTCCCCGAAATAAAGAAGTTCCGGGCACAAACGTTTTATGGCTTTAGTAGGAACGGCAAGAGGAGATGGAAGAGCATAACTGGTGAACTGAAGAAGAAGGCCCCAAAAACTGGTGATGAGCATCTTTTATGACAACCATCCGACGCCTTGGACATGCAGCTGACGGGAACGTGATGAATGCAGCTCCCTGAGACGACATTGCATCATAAATTCAGCAAGTGACGTTTAGCAGCATCCCAGGATGGCTGAGATGCAGAGCCAGAAGGTGATGGCGATGTCGGTGCCATAATGCTACTGCTACGTGCATTCCATTTGGCTCTGATTCGAAGCCATTGATCAAATCGAAAAGCTTTAAGCAATAAATTCCAAATTCAAAACTACCAAATAAACACTATTATGGCCCTGCCTTGCGTGTTCGAACTTCAAAAGGCGTAACGAATCGGAGTACAATTTGTGGCAATCGTTTAAGCAAATTGACTTTGCTTGTTTTGTCAGCCGTTGTTTGGCTTGGAAATTTGTTAATTTTGCGTTGAATTAAGATAAAATCTGCTTACACTGGCTTATGAAACCAAACATCTACTCAAACCCAAAGCCAAAGCTGGAAACGAAAACGAAAAGCCTCCAACCCCCGCAAGTCAACCCTTTTATTCGGGAAAACTCTTTTGTTACTGGCGGGGGGGAAGGGAGGCGTACTCCCCTCGATTGTTTTCAGATTCCGAGAACAACAAGACCAACTCAGCTACAGTTTATTATTTTTGCTCATCAGTGGATCCTTCTCCAACTCCTTCACTCCACTCCACTCACTCCCTCACTCGAAATAATGTTGTAGGCACTTTTTCGGTTGGCGGAGAAGCCTTTTCTGTAGCAACAATTTGTAGCGCAGAGATTAAAACTTTTAATTTGCTTTTAATTAATTAAGTTGAAAATCACAGCTGAAAGTCACTCGGATTCCTCACCCAGCTCTCGTTTACACGCTGCACGCTTCACCAGTTGGCAAAGAGTAACGCCCAGGCACAGGCAAAAAGTGTTTTACATGCCGAACCACCGAACCCTTGTCGTTGATTTTTACCCAAATGAAAGTTGAATTTTTATAGGTGTTTAACTTGCTGGGCAAACTCGTTTACCTGGCGTTTAGTTTGCTATCATTAAAGTTGGCCAACTTAAAGCATGTTTTGTGCTATTTTTGGAGCTCTTGAAAATAAGTTTTCGACCCAGCCTTTCGCACATACTTGTGTGCAGTTACTGGCACGCCGACTTGGCTGGAAACATTCATCAAAGTAAAAGTGGAAAAGTTCTTCCTCAGCCGGAGTGGCCATATGCAATTCAATTTGCATGGTGGCCTACGAATCAGAAACAGAAACCAGTTAGATGCCTTGATAATGGCCAAATAAAGAAATATTCCAGCCGAGACAGAGTTTGTGGCTTAGCTATAAAGCTAATTGAAAACTTTATTCGATCTTGGCGCAGAGCGAAGCCCGGAAATTGCCCTGCTTTCTGTTGAGTATCAAAATATTCACTCTTCTGCCGTGTTCAACATTTCCACACAGACTTTTCTTTTGTCCCGCACTTTTTGCCGTACCGCTCATGTGGAAGCATGAAGTCAAGGTGACTGCTGATGCCACCTGATACACGCAGCTGCAGCTTCTGGCCCAAAAAAGCTGGCTACACGATTGTTACAACACTCGATGCAGTCGATGTCCGTTGGCTTTGATGTTTCCTCCACTTTTAGCTGTTGCCTTTTGCCATATATATCTTCGGCGGAAAGAACCTGTTCTTCAACTCGACTTCTGCCTCATGGGTACATGGTGGGAAAGTATCAGTATCATATTTCAAATTGGCTGTTAGTTATGACTTAAAAATATTATTCTTTAAATTCGAAATCGATCTCATAGTGTATCTAAATAAGTCTATTAAATTTTGAATTGATCAAATTCAGTTAAATATTTTTATGAATAATGAACGAGTTCTTTGGGGATTCAATGATGCTTTGGAATTTTTCCCTGTGCAGATATTTTCCGGCTGCCTCACGTGCCTTGCCGCTCCTTTGTGTGCTCAACGTGACGGAAATTAGCGTAGCTTTCGTCTGTATGTGACTATGTGACTGCTTCTCATATTTATTTTTCCACTCTGGCGTAGTTATGAATGTACAGATACAGACACATGAATCTTTAGATTTTCAAAAATTCTCACTGGTATTTTTTCGTCTTTTTTTTATTTAATTTTTTCTTGTTGGCTCTGGCAACTGTGATTGATGTGTGCACATTCCAAGTGGGACAGAGGCCGGGGGACTTTCCGCTTCCAACCCCTTCCAGCAGCCGCAAACAAACATTTTACGTTTGAGTACGCGCCACTTTTGGTTCGACGCTCCATTCTGCTTTA